CGTCTTTCTGACTCGGCGGTGAAACGTTAGGTATGTTAGATGGTCGAATGAGTAGGTTAAGTGAATCAGAAACCAATTTAACTGGGTGAGAGACCGATTCAATAGAGTCATTTGGAGGATTTGAATCGTCCTGTGGTTCGTCAGTTGCTCCGGCGGCAGGAAAATTATATATATTAGAGACGGAGTCGGTATTTTTAGCCAAAGCAGTGCCATAATCCATAGATGACGGCGATGTAGGAAGAAGTATTGAGGAAGGGAGAAGACAATCAAGCAAAACATCCGCACTACTTTGTTTATCCTTCTCGACTTGATCGGATACAATCGTATCAGCACTTGTATCTGAGACTTCAGGAGTTTTCTTTTCAGAGCCATCAGAGAAGGTTGAACTGGATAAGGAAAGTTTGGATGCCGGTAAACCTGTATTCAGAGTGTTCCGCAGGCTTAGAGTTTGAGGGGAGGCTATCTGCAAACCTGCCCGCGATTGGGCTTTGTTGCGAATAGTGGCGCTCGTATCAGTCGGAGACAGTGAATCCAAATGGTCACCAGTAATTTCACCTGAGGGGATTATAGGCTGGAAAAAAATGCAAGATAAAAAATCTAAGAGGAACCTTAGTGGTGAATTCAAAAAAATATGAAGTCCATAGAAAGAGCGAGTAATAAAAAATAATTCATGAAAAAATAAAGTCCTCTCCCATGTATGCAAATGCAAGCAACAAAAGTACACGGTATTAGTCGATCTTATTACTCACTACGTATTTGCTTAAAACTATTTTCACTATGGTTCGTGTGCTACTCAAGGAAATTTAGTCTTGATAAGTTTATGTCATGAATAAGTACAAAAATCATAATAGGCTAGTGAGACTCAAGGACATTTAGTTTGGATAAGTTTATGTCATTAACTAGCACAAAAAGAATATTAGGCATGATCAAGAAATGACCTATGCATACAATAATAGAGCGAACATGAAATCTCTGATATAAAATAGAAAGAAGGGGATCACAATAGTCACGGTAAGAAAAGCTCGTGAAATCCTTTATTTGTGTTTGTTCCGTTTAGGGCGATAAAGGCATTGATAAAGAATCCTTTTGATCAATAATATGGTGGGAAAGAGTAGCAATGCAATAAAAATTGAAAAACTTAAGGATAAAAACTAAGGGGTCATTAGTGCGGACTATTGATTACTTTACAATTACCCATAAAGACTCAAAAGTTGCTGCGGGTTCCAACGCAAGTAATTATGGATAGGAACAAAAGTGCAGAGAGGACAAGAAAATAGGCAAACTAGATTATTTGCTAGAAAGACTTAGAAGAACGCACCTTGTCCGGAGTCCATTGTATGCATAATCATTTCCAAA